CCATTTAAATCTTTGCCTTATACACCACAGCAGTGCCTTGGGGCCTGGGGCTGCTTGGGGACCCAAGGTATGGAGTCGGGGACCGGACCTCCCTCCCACAACCAGGCACACTGCTAGCGCCAAGTAGTATGCCAAAATCAGCACCTCCATGTGGGTGGCCCACCACAGCCACCACAATAACCACAGCTGCTGTGAAAGTGGCTAGACGCCACAACCACCACACAGATGGTCCACCAGCCACTGGAGTGCATTGACACAAGGAGAGTCACCAGCAGAGATAAAGAAAGGAAGAGGATGTCTCTCTCCACAAAGCCCATTCCAGAGTGACAGAAGCAGCATCTGCTCTATGATAATATTGGGGGACCTGATCACAGCTCTCAGCACTGGACAGATCATCTAGGCAAGAAATCAACAGAGTAATCATTATTCTTTCAGAGGGAGAGAAGAAATCTAGGGTAATTAGAGGGGTGAGGGAGAGGGGGATGGGGAGAGATTGGACAAGGGGCATAAAGAGTAAGTTCGATTTGTAACAATATACATGCTAGTAGTATTGATTTAATCAACATCTCAACGTTAAACCCCCAAAATATGTATAATCAATTTTGATTCAATAAAAATTAAGAAAAAAACCTCTACCTTAACCAGTGGGCAAGCTATTTGGGTGTTTGGTCAGATGAGGTATAGCGATTTAAAACCTGAAACTAGACCCTAACCTGGGCTGATACCACCATACTGGGGTGGGGGTGGGGGTGGGGGTGGGGAGCAAGTGGGAACAGCTGTGACGCAAGAGCTGCAAGAACTCTCAGCTGGGGGCTGGCTGGTTGGCTCAGCTGGTTACAGCACAGTGTTGTAACACCAAGGTCCAGGATTTGGATCCCCGTACCAGCCAGCCGCCAAAAACAAAAAGAGAAATCTCAGTTTGTCTGAGGATACTAAGTGGCCTGTGGCGGGAACTGGTCACAGGCCCGGTTGCAGGCATCCGAAGGTGGTGTGGGGCACAGGCGTCAGTGGCTACAGATCCTGGGCGATGGTAGTCAGAGTCAGCAGCTGGCAAGGCCCCCTCACCTGGCCCCCATCTGCTGGGGATTAGCACAGAGCACACCCCCCAAGTTCTGGTCCAGAGCCTCGGGAGCAGCGTTCCTGTAGTGGATTGAATTGTGTCCCTCCGAAACTCACTGAAGCTTGAATTGAGTCCCCCAAGTTTTATGTACTAGAAACTTGGCCCCTGCTGCGACTGTTAAGAGGGTGGGAAATCCTATTATGGTAATTGAAAGGTGGAGCCTTGAAGAGGGGATTAGATTGTAGGACCGTGCAGTAGTGAATGGATTAAAAATGGTGTCCAGGGGCGTGGTTCTGAGGGCTTTAAAAGGAGAGGAGAGTCTGTCTCTCTCTCACTCTCTCTGCTTCCACCATCTTGCAGTGTGAGATCCCTGGGTCACTGTCACCACCACTAGATGTGGTCCTTGGACTTTGGAATTCCCAGCCACAGAAATTGTAAGAAATAAATTTCATTTTTCTTTATAAATCACCCAGTTCCAAGTATTTTGTTATAAGCAACAAAAATAGTCTAATCCAGTTCCCTTGTACAGGCCAGGATGACTCAGGCCCAGCCTCCTCACCCCTCCCTGGAATGCTCTCCTGCCACACTCTTCCCTGCCTCATTCCCCAGGCTGATTCCAAACTCCAGGCAGCCACAGTCTCCCCCAGGGGCCAAATCTTGGGTGTCTTGCTATACATGAGCAGATCAGATAATGCCCTAGTGGACCTTGTGCTTTGGCTTGAGCTCCTTAGTCACCAGAGCCTAGTTCTTGGTGGCCTCCATGACTCTGATTAAGCAAATTGTCTAGGGTCTCCAGCAGCTCTACCCCAAGGGCCTGTGTTCTTTCCCCTGCCCCACGCTCTCTACCCCTGAACCAGGGAGGCGCCCCGCTGTCGCTGCCTCATCTCCTTATCTATAACACAGGGGCTAGTGTGAGTCCCTATGTAGACTGTTGTGAAGAATAAAGGAGTTAATGGCTGAAAAGCCTTCAGAATAACGAAACTCTTCAAAATATTAGTTATTACATCATGGATCCTTCCCATTTTTTGAGTAGCTTCCACTGAATTGTCTACTGAGCAGATCAGAGCCGAAGTGGAACTTTGGGCAAATCCCTTCCCTTGGTTGACATCTGTGCATTGAGGGGATTGGTGTGGGTCATCTCAAAGTCCTAAATGCAGATCTAGAAACAGGGTTCAGGTCACCTGCCTTCAAGGCAGCCTGGCCCCGTGAAACAAGCATGAGCCCTTAGATTTAGGGGGCCGTGGTGTGAGAAATCCCCTATCTGGAACAGTGACCTGCCCAGCACATAGTAGGTACTCAATAAAGGTTATTTTTTTCTTCTTTTTTGCTTCCCAGGCTAGCACTGTAGTCTCTTAACTGAGTTTAGGGTTAAGAGCTGACACAAATTAGGAGACTAGAGGACAGAAGACTTTAGTGATGTGGGTGGAGGTGGGCACTGGGCCCTGGTAGGGGGTACCCATGTCACAAAGGACCTCTGACCTAATTCCCAACCATTCTCCACCTGGATTTCACAACTCCAGCCACACTGCCCTCCTTGGACCCACCAGGTCACGCCCACCTCGGGACCCTTGCACTAACTTGAGCTCCTGCCTAGAATGTTCTTTCCCCAGTTCTTACATAGTTTTCTTTCTAACCCCTCCAGTCTTTGCTCGGATACTCCCTTTTCTGATCCCTCTATTGCAAATCGCCACTCTCTGAAGTTTCTATCGCTCATCCTGCTTTTATCCCCATACAATTTGTCACCATCTCATATCCCATTTGTTTTCCCTGCAGGACTGCCCTGTCTCCCCAACCAGAATGGGAGCTCCATGAGGGCAGGGATCCTGGTCTGTATTGTTCAGTGTGGTATCCCTAGTATACCTAAGGTACCATTCTAGGTCAGCACCTAGACCAGCCCGTGGTACGTAGCAGGTGCTTAGCAGACATTCGCTGATGAATATATGGCTTCCCACCACCACCTGCAGGACAAAGTCCAAACCCTCTGATCTGGCCCTGCCCCCACCTCCAGTCTCACTCCCTTCTGGGAACTTTAGTATTTGATTTAATTATTTATTTATTTTTAACAGCCAGCACAGGAATCTGAACCCTTGACCTTGGTGTTACAAGGCTGCGGTCCAACCAACTGGGCCAACTGGCCAGCCCCTTCTAGGAACTTTAAAGGCTGGTTAAGGCCCAAATGCTGGAAGCGCCTGTACATATACTATGCTCATCACCCTCTGTGCTCTGGCTCATGCTGGGTGAGAAAGCTCCCCTCCTCCTCTCCTCTGCCACCAAGAGCCTGATAACTCCTGCTTGCTCAGCCTTCTAGACGCTGGACTGCACTTGGGCGTGGCCTCCTCCAGGAAGCTCTCCCTTACCACCCTTCCCCCACCCCCCGCTCTGTTGAATGTCCCTTTAGTGGGCTCCCACTGTATCCTTCGCTTGCCATATTATTGAAATGATCTTCCCCACTAAGCCCTAAACTCCTTGGCAACAGGGACTGGGTCCCTCTAGTCTTCTCCAGTCTCCCCTATCCACCCATACACACAAAGCAAAGTGTCGGGCTCAGTGAATGTGCTCTGGACCTGAAAGAAGAACGACGTGAGCCTGAATCATTGGTGAGAATTAAGTTGGTTGGGAAACAGCTTGATTTCCTCAAGGTACAGGCACTGATGAAAGCCAAAAGTCTGATTATATTCTGCTGCTTCTCACGGGCCTCAACAGCGCAGACTTGTTTTCCATATTTTATGATAAGAAAGAGTATCATGGCTAAGAGCATGGGCTTGGAGCCAGACCACCTGGGTCTGAATCTAGAGTGCTACGTTCCTAGTTGTGTGACCTTGGGCAAGTGACATTACCGCTTTGTGCCTCAGTTTCCTCATCTGGATCTTGAAATAATAATAGTACCTACCTCACTGTATTGCCATGAGGATTAGGTGAATTAGTGCATATAAAGTGTTTAGGACAGAGCCTGACACTTAATAATCACTATGAAGGTATTAACTAATATGATTAAAATTTCTTTTTTAAATACTGTAAGTTTAGAAAATGAATCAATTTAAGAAAAACGATAATACAAGGTAAAGGTGGCCCAAACACAGAAACCCCTGGGGCCAGGAGGAGTTGGGGCCTGTTGGCTTAGTGGCTTAGCAGAGTCAGAAACACCTGGGCTCCCAGCTGCTCTCACCAGCAGGTGCCCTTTGGCACTTGGCTCAGCTTCCCAGAGCAGCCAGATCACCAAAGAGCCAGTCTGCTCATTTGGCAACTCGATGAACAGTTCACAGAATTACTCATTGTACTTTTAAGTTGTACTTTTATCTCTGGCTTTGCCCTTGACATTTTATAAGTGAACAAGCATTCCTAGCCAACCAATCATTCCCCTCTTTTACTGCCCCTGTCCCAGCTACTGCCCAATCCCCTGACCCAGCATGTCCCATTACCCCTACCCACCACCCTCACCTCCGCCTTTGCCCCCACCTCTGCCCCTTCCTCTACTTAAAAAAAAATAAATAGGGCCGGCCTGTGGCTTACTCAGGAGAGCGTGGTGCTGATAACACCAAGTCAAGGGTTAAGATCCCCTTACCGGTCAACTTTTAAATAAATAAATAAATAAATAAATAAATAAATAAATAGGGCTACTTCTCCGAGAACACCACATGGCAGGTGACACCTGTGCAGCAGGAAGGCACTGGAATGGGAGGCATCTGCGGCTTCCACAGTAGCTTCATCAGCGGCATCTGGGGCTGGGGCTGCAGCAGCAGAGCTTGCAGAGGCAAGACCGAGGACAAGGAGTGGATCCCTGTCACCAAACTGGCTGCTTGGTCAAGGACATGAAGATCAAGTCCCTGGAGGAGATCCATCTCTTCTCCCTGTCTATCAAGGAGTCTGAGATTGTTGTTTTTTTCCTGGGGGAATCCCTCAAGGATGAGGTTTTGAAGATTATGCCAGTGCAAGAGCAGACCAGTGCTGGCCAGCGTTCCAGCTCAAAGCGTTTGTTGCCATTGAGGACTACAATGGCCACATTGGTCTGGGTGTTAAGTACTCCAAGGAGGTAGCCACTGCCATCCAAGGGGCCATCAGCCTGGCCCAGCTCTCCATTGTCCCTGTGCAGAGAAGCTACCAGGGGAACAAGATTGGCAAGCCCCATACTGTTCCTTGCAAGGTGATAGGTCGCTGCAGTTCTGTGCTGGTGCACCTTGTCCCTGCCCCTAAAGGGGTATCTCAGTCCTCCTACCCAAGAAATTGCTGCTGATGGCCAGTGCTGACAAATGCTACACCTCAGCCAGGGGCTGCATGGCCACCTTGGGCAATTTCACCAAGGCCGCCTTTGTGCCATCTCCAAGACCTACAGCTGTCTGACCACTGACCTCTGGAAGAATACCGTGTTCACCAAGTATTCCCATTAGGAACTCACTGACCATCTTGTAAAGACCATCTTGTAGCTCCAGCTGTAGCTACAACAAAAGGTTTTTATACAAGAAAAATAAAGTTAATTAAGCCTGTTAAAAACAAACAAACAAATAATAAGGTTCCCCCAGACCCTGCCTGGGGTTTCATGGGGTCAAAACTATTTTCGTAATACTATTTTCATAATAAAAATATTTTCATAAAACTGTTTTCATAATACATTGTTTGCCTCTTTACCCTCACTCCCCCCTGAGTGTAGAGTGTCTTCCAGAGGCTACATGATCTGTAATACTGCAGCAGACTGCATGCAGAAGCAGATATGAGAATCACTGTCTTCTATTAAGCCAGACACTGAAGAGATTTGCAAAAGTGTGAAACAGCCACTCTCCTCCATACATCTTGTTGTTTTGGAAAACAGTTATTTTTCAAAAAAATAGACAATTTCTGTTAACATATAATGATATCTGTGTTCATTTAAGTGAATTAAGCATTTTTAAATATGCAAAGAAATGAGCTGTCTCTTTAATGTATTAGCAGATAGAGAAGATATTGGGCTTTATGGATGTAGGCCCTGCCCTACAGCGAAAGGGCTGTAGCAGATCATCCCAACCCAGATTTAAAATATTTGTCTGGATCCAGGCCAGGAACAACACTAAAACTTCCAGAAAAATCCTCCATAATTTAGAGAATTGATTTTCTTTTCTTTTTTTGTTTATTTAAAAAAGGTGACTGGTAAGGAGAGCTTAACCCTTGACTTGGTGTTGTCAGCACCACGCTCTCCCAAGTGAGCTAACCAGCCATCCCTATATAGGGATCTGAGCCCATGGCCTTGGTGTTATTAGCACCACATTCTCCCAAGTGAGCGAACCGGCCATCCCTATATGGAATCCAAACCTGTGGCCTTGGTGTTATCAGCACCGCACTCCCAAGTGAGCCACGGGCCGGCCTAGAGAACTGATTTTCATCCAATTATCATAGAGTCCAGTTTCCTCAGAGAATGCCTTTTCTTGCTCTGCAAGATCGTTGTGAGGATTAAATGCAATAATATCCTTAAAGCACCTTAGCATGGTGCTTGTAAAGAGTTCGTTGTCAACACAACTGGGTTTGCTGGGATGGAACCAGGGGCCTCTGACAGCACAGAGGCCTGACGGGCACGGGCCCAAACTATAGCAAGACACGCAGGGCAAAGTCTCCAGACCCGGGATTAAGTCATGACTTCAACCTTCAGGAGCAAGTTACATTCAACTGGTTCTCAGTTGAATGACCATGAAAGGCACTTTGTAATCAGTACAGCACAGGTGAACATTAATTATCATTATTATTACATTCACCGAACCCATAAATAGGATCAACAGTGGGGGATCACACAGCTATGGGATTTAGGTCCGGAACTGTGGGAAAGCCTATCCTATAGATCTCCATATTCAAAAACCAGCACGGAAAGCAGGATTTGCTGAGGCAGTGTTTTAAAGCAGGCCTAACAGTCTCCAGGCTCCTGTGGATCCCCTTCCAAAGCCTGTCCCGGCTATACAATGCTCTTTCATGCCACCTCTGAGACCTAGATGCCCTAACTAGGCCTGTGTGTCTAGGACCATACCCTCCCTGTCCCATCTCTGTTTTTCTAACCCCATCCAGGACTAATTCACAGTGAGGCACTGTTTCCCAAAGCTTACGTCCCAGTAACGATAATAGCTATGAAGAAACAAAATGGTTCTTTGATCAAAGTTAAACAGGTTTATTTTTTGCAAGACCTGTCAGAGCTTTCAACATGCTAATATGCACTGAATCTCTCAGGAAATACAGGAATGCAGTACACAATGTTCCCCGAAGTTGTTTGACCATGGAACCCTTTTTCCAGGGCTATACCCCAGTATTAGCTTACCATGCAACACACTTTGGGAGATGCTACACTGCTGCACTAAGCTTCCTGTCTTACTCATCCTGATTGTGTTTGCTTTTCAAAGGGGCTGATTCTGTAGTGCATCAGTTACCAAAGTATAGGCCAAGGCCAAATCTGGTTAGCTGCCTGTATTTGTAAATAAAGTTTTATCGGAACACAGCCCTGCCTATTTGCATCTGTAGTGGTCCTTTACAGAAAAAGCATTTCTCACCTGAGCTATGTGTAACTTCTGGAGGATTCAGCAGTGTGCAGGTGCATGCCAGGAGAGACATGAAGCCACAATAGATCTGCCTGGAGGGTCCATTTAACTCAAAGATCAGTAATTTCAAGCATCATTTTTATATTAAAACAAACATGGACACATCACCAAGTAGAATGCAAGTTTTGCATAAATTTTGGAAATATAAGGCCTTAAAGAAATTTCCCAGTCCTTTTAGGCTAGCACTGCTTCCACCCCCACCCCCCAACAACCCCTCCCAATCTCTCATCCCTGACCAAGATGCTTGTTTATTTTTCCACATTCTAATGGGTACTTTAGTAGAAGTTTTTTTTTTTTTTTTTTTTTTTTTTTTTAAGAGATGACCGGTAAGGGGATCTTAACCCTTGACTTGGTGTTGTCAGCACCACGCTCAGCCAGTGAGCAAACCGGCCATCCCTATATAGGATACGAACCCGCGGAAGGAGCGCTGCTGCTGCACTCCCAGCGCCGCACTCTCCCGAGTGCGCCACGGGCTCGGCCGGCAAGGTGACATTATTTACATGACCATAAGTTGTTTTCCAGCCAAGCTGGAGCTGCAAACTTGCATGTACTATCCAGGCCCTGAGATAAAGATGGGAGCAGAAACCAGACGGAGTCTTGGTGAGACTTTACACCTGAGACCTCGTGCAAAGCCGTCACTGCTCACGTGCCCCTCCCTCCTGCTTTTCATTTCCCACGTTCCATTCCCTCAGCCCCCTCTTTAAACCTGAGTAAACCTGAGTCTTTAATGGCTTGAGCCTGGCTGTTCTCCTTCAGGTTTACCATAGGGAGGTGGGTGAGCCTGACATCTCTCCTCAGGTCACTGGTATTCCTGAATATAAGCTGACTTCCATTTTCACCAACATTTGATTTTGGTTTTTGTCTGGGGCACGCAGACAGACCTGTGAGTTCAGTATCAGTTTGGGGGAACTTCAGTCAACAGCTGCCTGTGCCTGTAATGTAGGTAATATATACACATACACTCTCATGGAGTTTGGATGTGTTGTGCCCTCCAAAACTCATGTGGAAATTTGATCCCCAATGTGGCAGTGTTGGAAACTGGTTGAGTCATGGGGGCGGATCCCTCATGAGTGGATTAGTGCTCTCCCTGGGGGAGGGGGGATTAATGAGTGAGTTCTCGCTCTGTTAGTTCCCGTGAGAGCTGGTTGTTTATAGGACCCTGGCACCTCCCTCCCTCTCTCTTGCTTTCTCTCGCCATGTGATCTGCCTTTACCTGCTGGCTGCCTGTCACTTTTCACCATGAGTAGACGCAGCCTGAGGCCCATGCCAGATGCAGCTGTCCCAGAATGGTAAGCCAAATAAACCTGTGTTCTTTATAAATTACCCAGTCCCAGGTATTCCTGTTATAGCAACACAAAACAGAGTAATACATGCTCATATATGTATAGGCTATCTCTGAAATAGTTCATACAATGGCCTACAAGGCCTTACCTAATCTAACCTGCCCCTTGTCATGACCCCTCTGATTCATCTCTCCCTGTCATTCCACTCTACTCACACCGGCCACCTTGCTGTTCCTGGAACACCCCAACAGCTACAAATGGCTGTCAAAAGTTCTCCCAGATGTCCACAGGATTTACTTTTTCACCACCTTCAAGCTTTTGCTCAAATCTTACCTTCCTGGTGAGGTCTACATGACCTTCCTAATTAAAACCACATCCCTCACTCTCTCTTGCCCCTCACCCTACTCTACCTTTGTCTTTTGTCCACAGTACTTATCATCTTCTAACATTCTATTATTCAATGTGCTTAGGTACTATGTTTATGGTTTATTGTGTTTCCCCCCTGTAAACTCTACAAAGGGTAGGGATTTTTGTTTTCTTCACTGATATAGACCAAGCATCTAACACCTAGTAGGTGCTCAATAAGTTTTTGCTGAATAAGGGAATAGAAGGATATACAAGAATCTGGTAACAGCTATCATCCCCAGGGAGAGGAACTGAGATATTGGAGGCAGGTATGGGAAGGAGACTTACTTTTTGGTATATACCCTGGTGTGCTTTGTTAACTGTTAAAACTTAAATTAAAAATGTTAGCCCTACCAATAGTATGCGAGAACTGGAAGAAATGACAACTCGGGTCCCCTTCTTATGACATATGATGATCCTGGTGCAAAGAAGTTAGGTGCTATGGGCCAAATATATCCCCCAAAAGTTCATGTGTGGGAAATTTGATCCCCACTGCAACAGTGTTAAGAGGGTGGGAAATCCGATTATGATATTTGAAAGGTGGGGCCCTTGGGAGGTAATTGGATCTTGAGGACTGTGCCCTGGTGTATAGATTGATCCATTCAAGCACGGTTTAATGGGTTGTCATGGACATGGTTCTGATGGCTTTATAAGGAAAGTGAGTAAGAAGGTTATCTCTCTCATTCTTGTGATTTTCTCTCTGTGATACCCTGCATCACTGTAGAGAGTCACCACCCAGAAGAAAGCCATCACCAGATGAGCCCCCTGGACTGTGGACTCCAAAACCCTAAGAAATAAATTTTGTTTCTTTATAAATTACCCAGTTTCAGGTATTCTATTATAAGCAACAAAAATGGACTAATACCTTAGGTAAGTTGCTCAAAGTCACATGGCCAGGATTTAAACCCACTTCTACTAACTCTGGAGCCCCAGTTCTTAAACATTAGGCCATAGAGACTCTCAATTTGGGGCTCTAATCAGCCGGTTTAATGTAGTGTGATAGGAATACTAAACTAAGTTGTTCCAAAGATCATGGTTTGCTTATGTCTGACCTTTCCCATTACAATGAACTCCAAGGGATGACTTCAGTTCTTTTCATATAAAAGATTTTGGTTGTATTCTGCAAAGCTTGACAGACATGGGAATACTGGGCTTGGGGATTCTTTTATGAGAACTTCATTGTCAAAAACAAAGTCTTAATCTTAGTCCCTTTGTAGTTGGAAGCACAGCATTCCTGAACCCTGCAATCCCCAGTATAGATATATATTTCTTCTTCCAAAGCAGTGAAGAGGTCTGGATGAGCTTCTGGGTGTTTGGAGGTGAGGAAAGGATTTGAGGGCATTTGGCCTGGTCAAAGGGTAGTGGGAGTATTCCCAGGAGCTGTTAAAGGCTGGCTGCTGAGCTCCCTGAACAGGACTGACTGGTGGGAGGCCTTCTGAGCCTGGACCAGGTGATGAACCCGCCGCTGCTGTTGCAGCCAATAGAGCATCTCCACTTTGTCATGCTTCATCTTGTCCAGGTAGTGCCGCCCCTTGAAAGTCACTGGCTCACCAAAGATTAACTCAATTTCCTCCAGGAGGGGAACCAAAGAAGACTCAACTAGATTGAGCTTCCTGTAGAGATGGCTGCGGATCTGATTCTCCTCCAGGAGGTGATTCAGGCCCAAGTTAGTCTTTTGGAAGAAGCGGTTGGGGTTGGAGGCTTGTCGTTCAAACCACTCTAGTCTCCCCAGCAATGTCTCCCGCAGCTGAATGGGCTTCAGAACCTGCTCCCAGGCACTCACCAATGAAGGCAGCTGTCTCAGACGGGCATTGGAGCTGTACTTGATGGCCATGTCCAGCCGATCCTTGTTGGGGACCTCAAGCATGGACCATAGTTGTTCCAGACGCTTCTGCAGGCTCAGGATTTTGTGGGGTTCTTCCGGGAGATGGGTCCTCCCAGGTCCTAGCCTGTGTTGCAGCACTGTGTTCCAATCCCACTCTCCTGGCACAAAGTCTGGCTCTTCGTCTTCTAGCAGGGGAGGAGGATGCTGAATCTCTAGGGACTCTTTGACAGGGGTCACTGTCTCCACAGGAACCTCTTCTTCATACATTTGGAAGATGACGTGGAGGAAATCTGTCTCATGGTTGGCGAGGTATTTGAAGTAGTCATCCACAGACAAATTGGATTGCCACCAGTTCTTCCATGAGAGCTTGTTTGACCGCCTCTCCCAGGTTTTGCTTGATTGGGTTGGTATGAGGGAGGGCAGTCTCTCAGGATTGGACTGTAAAGTGTTTGCTCTTTTGGAGTAAAGCCCAGCCAGCTCAGGGTTGATGATTCGAGACTGTTTTTCTTGACGTAAAAAAGCTGAGGACAGGAAGGTTGACCAGTCTTTATCTGCTGCAGGCTCAACCAGGGGACCCTGGTCAAAACGAAAGTGGTCAGTAGAGACTCGGCTCATCAACTCCTTGTAGACCTCCTTGATGCTAGTGCCAACAAAGCGATTGATATCCATTTCTTCAATGACTTTGGAGTCTAGTTCATCAGTAAGGTGGTTGTACAGGATTCCAGCTGCCTCAACGTGGAAAGAGTCCAAAAAGTTTCTATCAGAGACTCGTACAGCAGCTGCCTGAACCACAGCCTGATTTCTTAGCTCCAATGTAACGGTCACTGGCTGTGGTTGGAGTGAAGGGGATTTGGGGTGCTGGAGGTCCCACTGCCCACAGGCTTCTTCCTCTTGGAGGCTCCTCCACATCCTCTGCAGCTCCTCCAGATGATGCTCTGCAGCTGGGCGGCGAGTCACAACCCCAAGGAGTGGGGGCAGACCTGAGTCTAGCGGTGGGGAGCGAGTCCACTCCAATTTCATGTTCTTCATTATCTGCTTCAGATCCTCAGCCACAGTGTCCCCAGCCAGCTCTGGTTTGTTCTCTGCACCCAAGACCAGCGGGGTTAAGGGGCGAGCAGGGAGTGGAGGAAGACCCAACTCATCTGCCAGCTTCCAGCCCTCACGTAGAGAGGGCATGGACTGGCCTCTCCTGAGCTGGGAGTAGAGAGGTGAGTGGGATAAGGGGGGAGCCGCGCTGGTGGGAGTCACAGAGTAGGTAGGCAGTGACACAATCTGTGAAGAACTAAAGTCTACTTCTCTCTTCTTTCTGACGGAGGGCAGCCAGCGGAGAGCCTTTCTCCTCTTCAGCCAGGGGATGGACCTCAATTCCTTCACTGGATCCAGTTCGGGCTCACTGAAAAACTCTGTCGGGCGGCTGAGTTGGATGAGGTAGTTCAGGTTGAGGCTAGAGCATGGCACTTGGGCGAAGCCGGTGCTGTGAGGCCAGGGGATAGGGCAGAGTTTGAACGACCCGGGGGGGACGACAGGGCGCAGCTTGTCCCAGTCGCCGTGGGCCTGCTCTACCTTCAGCAGGGCCTGGAAGTCGGCGAGCAGGCAACGGTAGACTTCAGGACTGGTAAGGAAGAGTGTGCAGTCCCTGGCAAGGCTGGCGGCCAACCGGGTGAGGGTGGCTGATTCAGTGAAGACGCCTGTGGGGGTCGACATGGTCACCAGCAGGTGCAAGTAGCGTAAGAAGAGCTGCTCACTGCTGAGCAGCACATGAGCCTCGAGCCGCTTCCGCAGCTTCAGGTTGTCGCTGTAGCTCAGACTAGGTTCAGCGGGAGGCTCCCGCCAGCTGCACTTTAGCTCGTCCAGGATGACCTCGGTGAGGCGGAGTCGGCTCTCGGGAGGCACTAGCGCTGCCAGACCGCTCTTGGCCAGCAACTCGGTCACCTGGCGGCACAGCGACGCCACCGTCAGCTTGGCGAGCGTCAGGGACCGCAGTATCTCGACCTCCTGCGGGCGGCGCTTCTGAGGCTCTGGGGGCGTCGCCTTGCTGGGGAAGAGCGACAGCGGACGCAGCAACTGGTGGTAAAACCGCTGGAGCTCAGACTCCGGCTTCTGGAGATCCATCTTGGCGCAGGCGGCGTCCGCCGGAGAAGCAGAGGAAACCAAACGGTTGCTAAGGCAACAGGGGGTCGACGGCCCGAGTGCGCCTGCGCGCTCCTGTCTCCCCGCCCCCTGGACGCCGGGGGCAGCTCCTTGAGCGCGCACGCGGTAGGAGGCGGGGCCAAGGGTGGCTTCCGCGGCACCGCCCCCCGCGACGCGGTGCGGCGTTTGGCGTTTCGAGACCCGAGCGGTTGGGCTCCGCTGGCGGGTGACTGGGTGCAGGATGGCTTCGGACTCTGGAGACCGCGGGACGCTCTGCACGGTGAGGGTCGAGGTTTCGCGTGGAGCTTCGCCGGCAGAGAGCCTCGGCTCCTGGGGCGATTGTTATCTTGGCACCAGGGGAAAGAGCGGGCACCTGGGGCGGGGTCTGGAGCCCCGCGTGAAACTGGGGTGCGAGGGTAGCAGGGCTCCCGGCGTGAGTGTTGGGGGTGAGACCACGGCCGTGGAATGATCGTGAGTGATAATGAAGAAGGCGTTTGAAGAGGGGTCACGTGGGGCGAGTCCCCAGGCCTTTGGGGTGGTCACAGGGAAGGTGGTCCCTTGCAGCTGGAGTTCGCCGTGCAGATGACTTGTCAGAGCTGCGTGGACGCGGTACGCAAGTCCCTGCAAGGAGTAGCAGGTAAGAACCGGATAAGATTTTCTGTGGGCAGTGCAGAGGACTCTGGGAGGGACCAGGCAGATCTCTTAGGCCAGCCGTACTCCCATTTTGCAGATGCAGAAACTGAAACCCAGAGTTTCAGTTATCTATTAGCTGAAACCCAAAGAAAACAGTACCCCTGGCCCTGTACCATCTTAGGTAGCTTCTGGTTTTTAAAAGGCCAGCAGATACGGAGGTGACCTGGTACAATCGGAAGATCTGAGAAGGCAGAGCCACCCGCATGGCTCTGAGAACTGGCTTCCTTTGATTCTGTTAAATATTCATCTAGTCATTCAGCAGGAATGGACCTGACACTAAGGTCTTTTTAGGGAGAAGGGTTCACAGGGGTCTTGGGCGCAGCCCCTGCGCTCAGGTAAAGATGATCAGGCAAGCGTTACCTGGGTGGCATTCACAGAACGCTTCATGGAAGAGCAGTTCTGAGAGGGAACAAGGTGAGGTTCTGAAGCTGGGCAGTGGTAGCGCCGGTCTCTGTATAGGGTTGCCTAGTGGTTACGGGTATGAGCTCTAGAGTCAGACTTGTTTGAGTTCAAATCCCCTTTTTGCTGCTTAAGGTCACTAAGGTTTCATGCATGTTACTTTTTGGTCTCTCTGTTTCTTTAGTGTTTAAATGGGGACGATAATAGGAGCTACTCTGGAGGATTGCTATGAAGATTAAATTAGTGAATACATACAAAATAGCACTTTAGAAAAGATTTTGGCATATAGTGAGAGCCCAATAAATCTTTGGGGATTATGAAGGAAGGGTGCACAGGTGATCTGGTCAGGGGAAGGTGTGAGGACTCAGGTCTTGAAGCTGGGTTTACTGAGACTTTGTGTTTTGGGGTCATGGATGAGGGTCTGATGGAGATTGAGCCATTCCACTATGAGTGGAGTATTCTAACCAGAGCTTTCTCAGGATGTAGGGCCCTCCTCTTCCTGTAAAACATTCTTGCTTGGAGAGCAGACAGCTGGGCTTTCTGTTGGACATAGGGCAGTTTTCAGCCCTCATCAGATTTCTTAGGCACAAGATAAGGACTTCTAGTGACTCTGCATTTTCTGGGCTAAGTAGCTGGAACCAGCCTGGCTTTCTCATGGGCTGGGCAGGAAAGTTGTAGTTTCTCAGAATGCACAGAGAGGGAGTTGCCCTCTCCAGGAGGCCTGGGGCCTGGGGAAAGAGGGCTTTGCTCTCCTCTCAGGATAAGAGGAACTCCCAGGCCAAGGCTCACCCCCTTGAACCCTTATCACTCATCCTGGAGTTCCCTATGGCCTCTTTCCTCCCTCACTGGGCTCTGAGCTAACCAAGGCCTGGCCTGGCCACATTCTGAGGTTCACCAGGCAAACTGGACTGCTGCTTAACTGGAGAACAAGTTTTCTTCAGACTTGGGTCAAGAATTCAGGAGGTACATAGTTACAAAGAGCTTCCCACTTGGGGCCCTCCCACTTGAGGAACAGAGAATCAGCTCTTGGAGACCCCAAGGTCAGGAAGCCACCTACACTGACTCAAGTCCATCAGGAAGTCTTATCTGCTGTGTGTGCAAAACATACTCAGGCCTCCTCACCTCTCCCAGACCCATACAAGAACCTCATCTGTGGGCTCCCTGTTGCCTCTGTGGCCCCCTCCAGTAGCTTTTCCACGTAAAAGCTGAGTGGTGTTTAAAAATCATACCTCAGATAATGTGGCCTGAAAGTTATGAGACACTTTCCATGAGTGTGTATGAGAATCACCATGCAGGCTGTGTACACAGGGGTGACTTCTGGGATTTCGAGGGCAACAGGGACTCCATAGGCTTTTTTTCTGATACACTGACTTTTGAACTTGACCCTTGTGGATCATACTGAGCTCCTGCCCTCACAGAGCTGGCAGCCTAGCAAGTGAAACAGAGGACTGTAGTCAATGCGGTGTGAGTTACTTGGGGAAGTGAGAGCTGCTACAGGACAACGTGGAATTGGGGGCCAGGTGGCGTCCCAACCCAGCCCGGAGGCTACGGGCTGCTTGCTTAGGGTGAGCAGAATGTCTAGGTTAAGTGCTCAGGCTCTGGCACTAGGCCGTCTGGGCTGAATTCCAGTTCCACTACTTACTATAGTGTGACTTTCAGCAAGTTTCTTTAATCTCTCTGTGCCTCAGTTTCCTCATCTGTAAAATAGAGATAATCTAACTCACGGGGTTACAATGGGTATCAAGTGAGTCAATACAGATAAAACACATAAAAGTGGGCCTGGCCCACAGTGTGTGCTCAGTAAATGTTAGCTCTCGTGATGATGGTGATAACCCCCTCTCCCCTTTTATATGTGTAACTGCTTTGTTGAGATATAATTCACATACCATAAAATTCCCCAAAGTATATCATTCAGTTGTTTTTAGTATATTCACAGAGTTTTGCAATCATCACCACTATCAATTTTCCATTTTCATCACTTCATAAAGAAATCCTGTATCCTTTAGCTGTCACCCTCCTATTGTCTCACCCCCACTCCCTAATCTATTTTCTGTCTCTATAGATTTGCCTATTCTGGATACTTCATATAAATGGAATCATGAAATATGTACACGAAATATATACAGTCTTCCCTGACTGGCTTTCACATAGCATAATGTTTCAGGATTTACCCATGTTGTAGCATGTATCAGTACTTCGTTCCTTTTTATGGCTGAATAATATTCCACTGTGTGGATACCACATTTTGTTTATCCATTCATCAGATGATGGGCATTGGATTGTTTTCACCTTTTGGCTATCATGAATAATGCTGCTATGGATAGCCCACTTTTTTTTTTTTTTTTTTTTTTTTTTGTCTTTTTCCGTGTCTGGCAACGGATCGCAACCCTCAGTGTCGCCCCCGCACCAGACCAGGACCGGCAATGGAATTGCAACCCTCGGTGTTGCCCCCGCGCCTCGCTCAGCCAGTGAGCGGGAACCGGTCCGTATGTGGGATCCGAACCCTCAGCGGGAGCGCCTCCGCGCTTCCCAAGCGGCGCACTAGCACAGTGCGCCACCGGGCCGGCCCCATAGCCCACTTTATAAAACCATTTTATAAAAGAATTATCTAGGCTGGCCAGTTAGCTCAGTTGGTTAGAGTGTAGCATTGATAACACCAAAGTCCAGGGTTCAATTCCTTTTACTGTCCAGCTACCACAAATAATAAAATAAAAAATATAAAAAGAAGGATCTGTGTTTCAAAAGTTATTAATAATGCCTGGCATGTAATAAGGACTCACAAAAATCCTGGGTGCGGGGTGGCATTATCCCCACTTGATATGTAAAGAAACAGACTCAGAGAGGTTAAGAGGCTTACTCAAGGTTACACAGCTAGAAGGTAGTTTCTGAGCTTGCCTCTGGCCATGGAAAGGTTGGTAGAGATGGAGATGGGGAATTCCTGTTTCTGTATTCCCTGGCTCTAGCACAGGGGTGCCAGCCTTCTGCTGCCCTCTGCCTTCTCTCTCCTCCCAGGTGTCCAGGGTGTGGAGGTGCAGTTGGAGAACCAGATGGTCTTGGTGCAGACTACTCTGCCCAGCCAGGAGGTACAGGCCCTCCTGGAAGGCACGGGACGGCAGGCAGTACTCAAAGGCATGGGCAGCAGCCAATTGCGTGAGTAACCACTATGGCCTTGGCCTCTCCGGGTGGGAAGTGGCCAAGAGCTGTACAAATCTAACCAAAGGATTCTTGGGCTCTGGGTTGGAGTGGCTTTGGGGAATTGTGAAAGTTATGTGAGACTCTTTCCATGCCCTTCCTGACCTGATGAAGGGGTGGGGTCGGGTGAGGTGGCAAGCCAGCCCGAATGTCTAATACCTTGCAGAGAATCTGGGGGCAGCAGTGGCCATTCTGGGGGGCCCTGGCACTGTGCAGGGGGTAGTGCGCTTCCTACAGCTGACCCCTGAGCGCTGCCTTATTGAGGGAACCATTGACGGCCTGGAGCCTGGACTGCATGGATTCCATGTCCATCAGTATGGAGATCTCACAAACAACTGCAGCAGGTAAGTCATCTCTAATCTCCCTGGTAGCATCCTCAGCTACGAGTTCTCACAGCTGGTCCTTACAAGTACCATGGGAGACACATACACACAGGCCCAATCTACAGATGAGGAAACTGAGGCTCAAAGAGGGGTTAGATGACTTGCCAAAGGCTCTAGAGCATGTAAAAGATAGAGTTGGGATTTGAATCAAGATCTGACCCTGAGCTCCTGCTTGTAACCACCTTCTTGCCTCTGAGATGGAAGTCAACTGCTGGATGCAGGAAGGGTCCCCATGTTGTGGTGTTTGTCATGCTGTGATGTAATTATTGTTTACTTATCTGTGTTTCCCCTGGACCAGAAGCTTATTGAGGATAG